TTATGTTTCAAATGTTGTAGCCTGTAGTGAGGCTTAACTTAGGGGGCACAAATGTTAGGGTTTGCTATATGTACCCCAACCCATATCAATGAACAAACAATTCAGTTTCTGACATGGTATCACCTAGTTTAGGATCCTGTAGGATCCCATTCCTCTTGCCCGAGCCTCCCGAGCCTCACGCGCCTCACCCGTCCCGTCATGTCTCGTAGCACTGCAGTAGCGCCCCTTTTGTACGCTCGTCCGCCGCGCGCCTGCAATCACGCTTGCCGCAGCGCGTTCTGCCCGTTATCGCGCCCGTCTCTTCCCGTCCCCCTGTGGAGAATGGGCTATTATGGGAGAGCCTAGGCGCAGAGTTGCATGATTGGAGAGTGAAGTGCGTTGCATCGCTCGCGCCGATTTTCCTTCAAATTATAGCGAGGGTGCATGGCAAACTTGCTACCCTTTCCCGGCACTTTCGGGGGCAATTTGGCGAGGGCAAAGGCCTCAGCATTGATCTAGCGAATTTCACTGTTTCCCTGTAACTTCACACAAACAGGTGCCCAGAAACCGTCCATCTCTAGAACCATCCAACTGCCAACACAAACACATTCATAGAACATACGCAACAGAGGCATAGTGTAGATTGTGATTCCCGTGACTAGCGCCAATGGATCCTAGCGACTATGTACCTCATAGCTGAGTCTATTTCCACGCATTCCTAGAAGCAATATTGGCGCCCATATTCGCAGGGCTAACATCCGCACAGCATATCGCTATAAGATATTTGCAGCATGGATCGCCATAAAATATTCCTTCTATGGAGTAGGAGGAAATTAGGCGCAGATGGCTGCATCCAATTCATACGCTCCTGAATCACAGGTTCGTACAATACTTCGGGTCGACCGCCACGTATTTTTTTACCTTGTGCGCTTGTACTCCCCACACGTTAGTTAGCGCGCTGCCATGTCTGTGCCCATCTCATTATGTGTAGCTGCAGCCCTATCCCGAATGGCCCATGGATGGACCTTTCGCATCATTGGGATAGTGTACGGAATGAGTCAATGCCTCACACACTGCGTATTTTACCACTTCGCGAGATTCGTACGTCACCGCCTGACTCCCTACTGGGTCAAATGGCCTAATGATGAAGAACTAGTTGCAATGGAGGAGGAATTTAGGGCGTATGGCGGAATTCCTGGGGTCGTGGGTGCCATAGACGACACCTACATCTGGATGCGCAGATACGGCTTGCACAAAGAGGAATTCCAGAACCGCCACAGTTATTACTCAATAATTCTTCAGCTCGTCGTAGACGCCGCGGGGTACGTGTGGAATGTTTGGGCTGGGTGGCCAGGGAGCGTTAACGATGCACACGTTTGGGCCCTGTCCCCCATCAAACGAAGGATAGATCGCGGAGGAATTGGGAACTTTTGTCAAAAGTTAGAACGAGGAATGAATCAACTAGGAAGCAGGTGGGTACAAGTGGGAAAACCTAAAAGTGTTGTACCCCACATTGTCTACCCCGGTACAGCCTACACAGACCATAGCATACAAGTTTGACACACCCCCATAAGCAAAGTGGGGGAGAACAAGAGGTCACAAGACCAGTCAAGAAGAACAAAGCAAGCTGAGGGTGGATCATGACGTCACCACACATTCCGAGCACAAGCAAGCAATCACAAGGCCAGTTCACACATAGACTTATATAAAGTAAAACGAGTTATATTAAGTAGAACAAGCAAAACAGTGATCACAACCAAGCAAGTGTAAGCATGCAGCTATATATATAAGCAAAGTACAAGAAGTGAGCAAGTGAGGCCAAGTGAGGACAAGGCCTAGAACAAAATAGAATCACTGATGATCACAAGGCTGAAGTGCCTTGGTGAAGATATCAGCCGTGTTGGCTTGAGAGGCCACGTAAACACGACGAAGCTGACCACGCTGCTGCAACTCTCGAGCAAGTAAGTAGCGAAGAGCGATGTGCTTCGTTCTGTGCTCCAGTCTCTGCTCGCGACACAAGGCAAGCATTGCCTTGTTGTCGTCGTACAGAACTAGAGGAGAACGAGGCGCCTCGCCCAGGTCGGTCAGCAGGTAGGTGAGCCAGCGTAGCTCCTGTGCAGCCATGGCCCCTGCGTAGATCTCAGCCTCACAGCTGGAGCTGAGAACAGAAGACGAGCGGGTAGACCGCCACGCGACAGAACCGGAGCCAAGGCCGAAGGTGTAACCCTGTGACGACCGTTGCGTAGCCAAGTCGTCAACCCAAGAAGCGTCTGCGTGACAAGTGAGAATAACTGGACCCCGTCCCCCAAGCAGAGCCCCATGCCCGAGGTACTGCACAAGTAGCGCATTACCCTCTTAGCTGCCTTCAAGAGCTCTGGTCGGTGTCTCCCGGGCGCAACGTAGAGTGCCAGAATGCTAAGAGGGTAAGCAAGGTCAGGACGAGTGCAGGTCATCAGGTACATGAGGCAGCCCACAAGCTCTGGATATGGGCCACTCGGCTCTACGGACTCATCATAAGGCAGAGCTGAGAGCGAGGAGGACCTGGCGCTAGGAAGAGCGGCGAGGGGGGGGGAGGGGGGCAGTGCGGTAGGGGAAGAGACGGTAGTAAGGAACCGACTCGTCAAACGTGACGTCCTGAGAGGACAGAACACGGCGCGAGGTGGGGTGGTAAAACTGCCAACCAGGCACGTCAAGGGGGAAGCCAAGGAAGACGCAGGGAACAGCACGGGAGGACAGCTTGTCCGCAGACAAATCGTGGACAAAAGCTCGAGATCCCCAGACACGGAACGCAGACGCATCGCCAACCTTCCCCGTCCACCGCAGAGCAGGTGTGGTCTCCGGCATGGAGACCCGGGGCTGGAGGTTGAGCTGATGCGCAGCGTACCGAACCGCGAACGGTCACAAAAAATGGGGAGCAGCCGCATGGATCATGGACGTACGAGCGACGTCCATGACCATGCCAATGCGGCGCTCAGCAATCCCATTTTGTTGTGGAGAGGCCGGAAGCGCGAACGTCTGGTGGATGCCCTTCGCACGATAGAAGGCCCTTAGAAGGTCGGAGGAAAATTCTCCACCTCTGTCGGAGTGCAGACGCAGAACAGGAAGGTCCGAGCTGAAACTCTTGCTGAGCTGGCGACGAGCTGCGCGGATCCAATCGATCAGCACCTCAGTGACCTCACCCTTGCGGCGCAAGGGGAAGACTGTGCTGTAACGCGAGTAGTCGTCAACGACCAGTAGAAAGTAGCGCTCGTGACCCTGTCCACGAACGCGGGCTGGGCCCCACACGTCCATATGAAGCATATGCAGGGGAACCTTTATCGGAGGGAACTCGGAGGAGTGAGGAGCGGCGCGCTGCCGCCCCTCTACGCAAGGAACGCAGGTAGGGGCATGCCCCGGGGGAAGGGGAGGGTGAGACCGGGGAAGACCAGTGACAAGGACACGGGAGGCCATGCCTCAGAGACGAGGCAGGGAGGGGTGACCAAGGCGGTGGTGCCAGAGGAGAGTCTGGTGAGACAGGAGGCGACACGAGCAGGGGGCAGACTCAGGACCAGACCGGGACGCAGCAGCAAACACCTGACCCGACGCAGCTACCTGAGCAGACTCAGCAACCGGAGGAGACACAATAGTCAGTGTGTATAGGCTCGACCCAGGCTGCGGGGTGAACATGGCCAGGTGTCGGCCCGTCCGTGTGCACGTATAGTGGGTTAGCCGCTGACCTCTAGGAGTGAACTGGTCAACCCACACGTCCTGAAGGTCAGCTTCACTCACCAAGTTTGTAGAGAACAAGGGGAGGTGAAGACGCGACAGTGAGCCAGACGGGACTGCCAGACACGGCAGAACCGTAGAGTAGTGCGCAAGGACTGGACACTAGAGGGGTCAGCCAGGGAGACTGCAACCGGCCGACTGAGCGGCGTGAGTGTGGTGCAGTCGTGAAATTAGGAGCACGAAGCTCCTGAGTCAAGCGTGAAGGTGTGCAAGGCCGCAGCAGGCATAGTACCAGAGAGATCAGACTCACCAGCACCTGGAGCAGTAGACTCACTAGCGCCTAGAGCAGCAGCCTCGCCGGCACCTGGAGCAGGAGACGCACCAGCACCTAGAGCAGTAGCCTCACCAGCACCTAGAGCAGCAGACTCTATACCTAGGCCAGGCGGCACACACAGATGACAGGCACCCTCAGCACTAGTAGGCAATGCATACATGGCAGTGAGAATAGCATCATATTCTAGAGCAAAGATATCTACCCTCTGCCTAAGCAGCTCCAACCAGGAGGGGAGCTCAGCGTCGTCGCCAAACTCTGTACGCTAGGCGTCGCTCAGACAGGAGAAGCAGCGGGACACTGTGTGACCAACCATCCCGCAAGGTTGACCAGCCCGAGCACCTGTGCGAATGACGTATGGGCAGCGAGCAGTACTCCGTGACCCTCTACTCTGAGTGTACCACTTACGAAGCTAATGGGGCGAAAGGATCTCGCACGCACGCCGCTGCAGCTGCACCTGGCCACTACAATAAGCTCCTGAACGACCCGCTCCAGGGAGAATCCCACCACGGCCACCCCTACAACCCCAACTAGCGTACCACTCACGAAGCTGCTGGGACGTAAGGGACTCACGCGGACGTCGCTGGAGGTGCACCTGGCCACTACAAGAAGCTCCCGAAAGACCCTCTCGAGGGCGACTCCCACCACGGCCACCCCTACAACCCCAACTAGCGTACCACTCACGAAGCTGCTGGGGCGTGAGGGACTCACGCGGGCGTCGCTGGAGCTGCATCTGGCCACCGCCAGTAGCAGCAGGAGTGGCAGTGCAGCAGTAGTAGCAGAGACAACTGGAACAGCAGTGACAGCTGGAACAGCAGTAGCAGCAGGGCAGAGCAGTGCGGCTCAGTAGGGCAGGGTGGCGTGGCTTGGCCGAGCGGCGCGGCTCGGCTGGCAGGCAAGCGCGGCACGCACGGCAGCACGCTTGTAAGGCAGGCGCGCGGGCAGTGCGGGTAGGGCAAGTGCTCACCAGAGGCAGGTAGGGCAGATGCCACCGGCGGCGGTGGGCAGGCGCTCAACGGGCACGGGTAGGGCAGGTCCGACGCTCGACGAGTGGCTGCAGGCGCTCGACGGGCGGCTGCAGCGGGGCCGCGGCGGCGGCTACGACGGGGCCGCAATGGCGGCTGCAGGCACGACGCCGGCTACGGCGGGGCAGAGCCGCGACAGCGGCTACGGCGGGGCCGCAACGGCGGCTGCAGAGGTGACGGCGGCAGGGCAGGGCAGGGGCGGCCGCCCCAAGGGCGGGCGCGGGGCGGGGCAGGGCGCGGGCAGGCCGCAGATGAGGCAGGGCGAGCAGGGACGGCGCCTAGGGGGTGCCGCGACGAGCAGGGGCGACGCCGCGCGGGTCCCGCAGGGGCGTCGCGACAAGCAGGAGCGGCGCCGCGCGGGTCTCGCAGGGGCGTCGCGACGAGCAGGAGCGGCACCGCGCGGGTCCCGCAGGGGCGTCGCCACGAGCAGGGGCGACGCCCGGGTCCCGAAGGGGCGCCGCGACAAGAAGGAGCGGCGCCGCACGGGTCCCGCAGGGGCGTCACGACGAGCAGGAGCGGCGCCCCACGGGTCCTGGGGCGGCGTCTCGGGGTCCAGGGGCAGCGTCACAGTGTCCAGGGGCAGCGCCGCGGGGTCCAAGGGCGGCTTCAAGGGTGCAGAGCAGGCCCGCGCGCGGCATGCAGGGCAGGGCAACGGGCAGGCGCTCGAGGGCGCGGGTAGGACAGGCGCTCGAGGGCGCGGGTAGGGCAGGCGCTCTAGGGCGCGGGTAGGGCAGGCGCTCGAGGGCGCGGGTAGGGCAGGCGCTCTAGGGCGCGTGTAGGGCAGGCGCTCGAGGGCGCGGGTAGGGCAGGCGCTTTAGGGCGCGGGTAGGGTAGGCGCTCGAGGGCGCATGTAGGGCAGGCGCTCGAGGGCGCGGGTAGGCAGGCGCAAGGCGCAAGGCGCGTGACGGGGCAGGCAGGCACGGCAGTGCACTTCGGGCAGGGCAGAAAATAAAAGTTCGTGGTGGGCCCTAAAAAAACGTTTCCACTAGGGAACCTGCTCTGAAACCATGTCAAAAGTTAGAACGAGGAATGAATCAACTAGGAAGCAGGTGGGTACAAGTGGGAAAACCTAAAAGTGGTGTACCCCATATTGTTTACCCCGCTACAGCCTACACAGACCATAGCATACAAGTTTGACAACTTTTGTCTTGTTGGCAATGCCGCATATGTACTTGACGACACACTTTCACGCCATTTAGGGCCCATCCAACGAATGGCCTGCGGCGAGGAACTAGTGTGGAATTGGTGTTAAAGTAGGACACGTATGATTGTGGAGCAGGTTCATGGACGATTGAAGTCAAAATGGCGCGTCCTAGACCATCGTATGGAGTCCCGCTTAGGAAAAGTATGTGTCATCATCGCGGCAGCCGTTACGCTTCACAACATTGAGTTGACCATGGGTTTTCATCATTAGTTGGTGCCACCGAGAGAACGTGACGCATGGTGGCAGCGTGGCCCAGCCTCCATGCTCGAGCACGCTAGCCCCTCTGCCGTTGGGTTCACTCCAGCCCGCCGTCGTGAGCGTATCGCCGATTTTCTGTATGTTTCCTGGCGCCTAGAACATCCCGGCGAGACTGTGCCGACCCTCGAGTACGTGTAGAATTACACACCATCTACAATTGCAAACGTGTCCATATATTACGTCCATGTTGCGCCCATTCGAGATGTGCACATGATGCAATGATGGTCCTACTTCTCTTTCGGTGCTGCAAGCGTCGAGATCGGCCTGCCACACGGCAAACGCTGTCATCCCCAGGTTGTGCCAGCCATCGACGAGAGGTGCCATGATGACCTGAGAGGGGTAAAGTGTGGGTAACAACACAACATTAGCTCAACACATTTGCCTCACATATGGAACAAAACACATGTAAGCAGATACACATGCACCTGACCTGACGTGGGCGTGCTTGAGGTGTTAGCCGGCTCGCCCGTCTCAGGCAGACTTCCAATGGTGTGTGTAGGCTGTGCCGACTCACGCCGGCTACACAGGTGGAAGAGGTTCCACCACGAGGGTACATCGGTTTGGAACCTTGAGCCACTTTGCTGACCACTGTCACGAATCCATGTCCAGCGTGCTTTCATGCGCTGCAGTTTGGCCCTTATAGAATTGATGCCATGCCTGAAGGTGGGATTGCGTCTACGACACTCTCGCCATATCTCGTGGTGGATAGACTGCCCCTACAGCGATCGTAACCGCCGCACCAAGTCGTCAAGATCATGGCGCACCTCGGCCAGCAAGTGCTCCTCTGCCGGGTCCCAGTAGTTCTCACTACTGCGGGTCGTGACGGTCTCGCCGGCATCATGCTGGGTATGGTCTGGCCCTGGCCTCACACCCGTGTGGGCAGGTGTGGATGTGTCTGCGTGCATGTCATCCACTGTTGTGACATCAACGTCAACATTTGGTTGTACTTCATTGCAAGGCCCATTTGGCGCCCGGGGTCTGGTAGGGAATTGACTAAGGCATCGAGGTCAGTGATTTCTACCCGAGACACTCGGTGAGCAACCCCTGGGGGTACTGGCGCAGCTGATTGCCTCGAGACATTTGGGGGCGTTGGCGTCTCAGCCCTCGGCTGAGAAAGTGGTGCCGACGACGGACCCGGGGCACCTGTGGAAGGGTGCCAAGTGGAGGAGTTCGATGCAGTGGCTGCGGTAGTGGGTTGCAACGGTGTTGCTGCCGGGGGACGAAGAGAGGCCGAAGCACCTTCAGATATCCGTTCTGTCCGCGTGGTCCGCGTGTTCTGCTAGGCAGGCCATAGTCAATGCTGGGCAGCCACAGAGAACGCCGTGCCGTGCCAGAGCCCAAATTTCCGGGGATTTCGGTTTGAGGGCTGGCCGTCTACTGCGATTGGGAGTTGATGGTGGCTACGGTATTGCTACCAACGTGGGACCGTGCGGAATTGGAACCCGTGTCGGCAGAAGGGCCATGTTCCGGTCCACTTCCCAAATCTGGAATTGTCTGACTATTTTGCGTAGACAGCATCGGGTTGACCTCGATACCCTCCCCTGGCATAGTCGGAGAGGGACGCGGGGCTGTTGACCCCGGCGCCGATGGGGAAGGGCGAATGGGTGCTGAAACCGACACCGACGGGGAAGGGCGAATGGGTGTTGAAACCAGCACTGACGGGGAAGGACGAATGGGTGCTGAAACTGGCACCGAGGAGGAAGTTCGGATGAGAGCTATAACCGCGGGCCGCGATTGGTGGATTGGGAGTGGAGGGTGACCTGTTGCTGGTCTAGAACCACGGAGTGGGGGGCGATTAATCTGAATCCCATTCTGGAACATCGTGTGAATGTTCCCCAAGCGTAATCCAGGCGTCGCACTAAGCGCGGGCACGACATTGGATGAGGATTGACGCGATGCAGCCAGCAGTGTGCGGGCTAGGGAGTTGCTTGTGGCGGAAGTCGGCCCCGTCATGGCATCGGCATGTGGGCTGCGTAGTGGATTCGCATCACCCTGGGCACCTGGCTGACGCGAGTTTGGGAGAGAGGATGCCATGGAATAGGCGAGGAGGCTGTATAGGGAGTGTTGGAGGCTAGAAAGTGGCGAGTTCAAAAACAAGATGATGGCTTGTGAGTCGACGTGAGGAAATAGAGCAGGATTTGAAGTAAAGTATGGGGCTCAACGTCGCGTGAAGTCTGGGTCTGATTGGCTGGCGAAATGCAGGCGCATCCAGAAAGTTCTTGCTTGGGTGGTTGGCTGTGCGAGTGCTTCACAAAACCCAGCAATACGCTGTGACTTTTCGCGAGCGTCGTTTGGTACCCCAAACCAATGCAATCAACTGATCGTCCGTGATTGTGTGGGATTGTGTTTGATTGGGCTGTTAAGGCGGTTGATCGAGGGGCGATCAACTGATCGCGATCAAGTGATCGCCCCCGATTGCTTGAAAATGCCACCCTAGCATCCAGGAAATTATTGATCGACTCTAACCGGGGCAATAGAGGTGAACCGTAACACGTCCAAATACTAAATCGCGAAACCGTGCTTCTGTTGCTGATTACACTTGAGAATCCGCTCGGGATTAATCTGAGTATGTATGATGTTGGTCGTTTGGGTTTCTCCATGGACGGTGTTGATTGCATTCCGTGCTCCGTGCTGGTGCTGTACATCTGTTCGTACAATGATTGCCTTTCCCTCTTTATTCACACTATAGTAAATGTACAATGGATACAAGGAAAATCCAGAGACCTAGTATAAGGAAAGACATGCAAGCTAGTCCTATTGTGAGGCCTACAAATAGGCCTCTGTGATGTCTTAATGGTCCTCTCCCAAGTAGGCAAAGTCAGCTGCTGAAAGAGAAGTCACCTCAGGTGGTGCGTGATTGACGCCCTCGAAAAAACGAATTTGTGCACGACGACAAGCAGTGCGAGCCTGCTCACCAAAGAAATCCGTTTGTACATGTTGGTCTCAAATAGCTGGGGAAGAGAATCTGTGGCATCACTCAAGTCGCAGAGTTGTGAAGCCCCTTTGCGGCTGCATTGGCGAAGGAAGTGTGAAGAAATGTGGAAGGAATGAATGAACTAGCAAGCAGGTGGGTACAAGTAGGAAAACCTAAAAGTGTTGTACCCCATATTGTCTACCCCACTACAGCCTACACAGACTATAGCATATGAGTTTGACACACCCCCATAGGCAAAGTGGGGGAGAACAAGAGGTCACAAGACCAGTCAAGCAAAGCAAAGCAAGCTCAGGGTGGATCACAGCGTCACCACACAGTCCGAGCACAAGAGCAAGGCCACAAGGCCAGTTCACATGCAAGATCATATATAAAGGTAAACAAGCAAGTGCAGGTATAGAAAGATCACAGTACAAGCAAGGTCAAGAAGTGAGCAAGTGAGGCCAAGTAGGCAGAGGACCTAGCATCGTACAGAAGCGCTGATGATCACAAGGCGGAAGTGCCTTGGTAAAGATATCAGCAGTGTTGGCCTCAGAGGCCACGTAAGCAAGACAAAGCTGACCACGCTGCTGCAGCTCACGAGCAAGGAAGTAGCGAAGAGCAATGTGCTTCGTTCTGTGCTCCAGTCTGTGCTCCCGACACAAGGCCAGCATGGCCTTGTTGTCTACGTACAGAATTGGAGGAGAACGAGGCGGCTCTCCTAGGTCAGTCAGCAGATAGGTGAGCCAGCGTAGCTTCTGTGCAGCCATGGCCCCCGCGTAGATCTCAGCCTCACAGCTGGAGCCGAGAACAGAAGACGACCGGGTAGATCGCCACGAAACAGAGCCGGAGCCAAGGCTGAAGGTGTAACCCTGTGACGACTGCTGCGTAGCCTGGTCGTCAGCCCAAGAGTCTGCGTGACCTGTGAGGACCACTGGACGTCGCCCTCCAAGCACTAGCCCCATGCCCGACGTACTGCACAAGTAGCGCAACACCCTCTTCGCTGCAGCCATGTGCTCTGGTCGGTGTATCCCAAGAGCAACATAGCGTGCCAAGATGCTAAGAGGGTATGCTAGGTCAGGTCGTGTGCAGGTCATCAGGTACATGAGGCAGCCAACAAGCTCTGGGTACAGGCCACTCGGCTCTACGGACTCATCCGAAGGCAGAGCTGAGAGCGAGTGGCGAGTAGACAGAGGAGTGGCCTGAGGCGAGGAGTACGTGAAGCCGAAGCGCTGAAGGACCTTCTGCACCATGTGTGACTGAGTCAGGGTAATGGTGCGCTGTGCTCTGTCCCGGGTGATCTGCAAGCCAAGGTAGCTGCGCAGTTCACCCAGGTCTGTGCACGTGTGTCTCTTCTGCAGCTCGGACTTCACGTGGGCGAGTCCAGCAGTGTCAGCATTGGCAAAGACCAAGTCGTCGACGTACACGAGGATGTAGAACGGCGGCAAAGAGGTGTCGGTGCGCAGAAACAGCGACGGGTCGGCAGTAGACGGAGCAAACCCAAGAGCCGCAAGTGTAGTCCTCAGTGTGTCGTGCCACTCACGGGGCGCCTGGCGGAGACCGTAGACTGGCCGCCGGAGGCTCCACTGGGTACCAGGAGGAAACAACCCAGTGAAGCCAAGTGGGCGGCGCAGCCAGATCTCCTCGTGCAGGCTGCCCTGCAGGAAAGCTGTTGTGAAGTCAAGAGAGTGAAGCTCGTAGTCGCGCTGAGCGGCTATGTGCAGCAGCACCCGAAGAGTGGTCATCTTCGGGGTAGGACAGAAGGTCTGAAAGTAGTCAACTCCCTGCCGCTGACTGAAGCCTTGAGCCACGTAATGTGCCTTGAAGACAGGCGGAGAACCCGGCGGCCGCTTCACCCTGAAAATTCACATGCCACTGACGATGTTCGCCCTAGGTGGGGGAACCTCGTCAACGTAGGTGCCTGTGGACTTCCAGGAAGCCATCTCTGCGTCCATGGCTGACTGCCACTGTGAGGAGTAGGGACCCTTGATCGCCTCAGCGAACGATCGAGGAGTCGGGATGTGTGGTGCATCTGGGTCTCCCTCAAGGGCAATCAGCGTGGACATGAGATGAGGCAAAGCAGCAGCAAAACACTGGAACTCCTCTTGCCTATCCTCAAGGACGTCCGTGCTAAGAGCACACTCACCCCCGACGTACGGAGGACAGACAGACTCAGACTCAGCAACAAGACTAGCAACGTAGTCTAGACGACAGGGAGCAGCGAAGT